AGGGCAGCTACCGGGTCAGACTCTAAAGAAGGGGACACCTGAAGTCAAGAATTTTGTTCATCGATAAACATGTGTAAGGTACTTGGCGATACTCAGTGAATGGCCCGATAGAAGGGCAAAGTATCATAATTATTTCATGTCCTGGCTTTTAAACACTTAATCCCCAACTATAAAATTGCAGTATATTTTGTTCTGTAGGAGGAGGGAGAGATACATCACTTGTTGTTGGTCTGTTAGATGATGTCACAGTGACCACTCTTGGCCAGGTTCTTTGGTGCATGAGTGGGATTGCATGGGGGCAAGGTGGCTTTGATCCTCTTTTTTTTAATTTTTTTTTTTTTTTTTTTAATAGTGGAGATATACCTATCTCCTAGAACTGGAAGGGACCTCGAAAGGTCATTGAGTCCAGCCCCCTGCCTTCACGAGCAGGACCAAGTACTGATTTGCCCAGATCCCTAAGTGACCCCCTCAAGGATTGAACTCCCAACCCTAAGTTTAGCAGGCCAATGCTCAAACCACTGAGCTATCCCTCCCCTCTCCTCTTGTATGCCCCCTCTTCCTGATCCAGGGGACCAAGGGGCTCTGCAGCATAATTTAGTGCAGTTTCAGGGCTGCTCTAATATATGCCTGGCTGCCCACAGTATCACAGGGCCACTCCAGCAGCTAGAGATTGCTGGGGCATAAGAACAACAAAAAAATCTTTTGGGAACACTCAAGAGTGGTGGATTCCTTGTGCTGCAGGAGAGGCACAAAACAGCTGTAGAGCAAGGCCAAGAATCTGCCCCTGTGTCTCCTTAATCAAATGAAATACTTACATGTTATGTTTAATTTAAACTAGACAGTGCAAAAGACCCCACCAGAGATGTTATCCAGGGCTGAATAACCATAAAAAAGCTAACAGTGCACTGTCTGTGCAACTTATTTAATGAGAGCCCCACAGAGCCCTTCTTTGTGGTGTATTGAAAACTCGGTTAAAATTGTGATCTATAACTTTAAATTCTCAGAGGTCTTCCCAATCCTGCTTGCAGCAGATGGCTCTGTAGGGAAGCATGTAATCAGAGGCAGTCTGAGCCAGCAAACTTTGAGTAAGGTGGAGTGAATTGTACATCTCTGCCTTTGGGAGCAGCCTGTTTTGTCTCTCTCTGTTTTGGGTCCTTGTGTGCCAAGGTTCTGAAGTCTAAGAAATAAAGTAGTGTTACATTGCAATCTTCAAGCAAGAGTATTTTAGGTTTTTATCTAACTTCTCTGTGTGTATGCTGTGAAACCTAACACTCTCTACTTTTCATTTTTCATCTGTCAGCCAGGGCCCCCCTTTCTTTGGCCAGCAATTTTACAAATGAATCAAAATGGCATGTTTCCATCTGGCCTCAGAAATCCATTTTACTGGGTAACAGTGTGTGAGTGCTAAAGAGGTTAAGGAAGAGAATACCAGATTAATGACTTTTCTCACTTGGATCAGAACAAAGGCAGGGTGAAAGATAGTTTGATTTTTTCTTTATAGCATCACTAGAATTTAATCCCAACTTTATCTGTCTTTCAAATTACAGTGCTTTGATGTTCTACCACAACGACTATAAGTGGCTAATACAAGATACTGATCAAATATACTACAGGGCTGGGTGGCTCCTGTGTACAGGACACTTGTACTGAGTCAAAGAAGCTTATTAGGAACAATGAACTGAATTGTACCTGCTCGATGGCCTTCCCCTTACAAAACTGCAAGGGCGGAAATATCATGCAAAAAAAGTGACTTGCTTCACCACGAGAGAGGAACCTACATAGATGGGCTGTCCAAGAACTTGTTAAATGAATAAATTATTTGATGCAGGGACAGGGGTGAACTAAGGAAGGGTCGTTGGGCTCTGGAGTCCACAGTGAGAGGGGACCTGAATAGAGCACATGGACAGGCAGTGATACATAACAGCTGATTGCTACTCGTGGCCTTTTTCTGGCCTGGCTCATCTACAGTCCTGGCTCTTTAAATTTCCTTCTTCTCCTGCAAGAATGAAGTATCTTTTTTATTTTTACAGTGGTGTTCAGTGGAATTCACCTAACGGGCAAGAAATCCCCTGATGTCTTTTAAAGGGCCAGGACTGGACAGGAAGAGCAATGATTTGGGAGTGGGTCATAAACAGGTAGGGTGACCAGATGTCCCGATTTTATAGGGACAGTCCCGATTTTGGGGTCTTTTTCTTATATAGGCTTCTATTACCCCCCACCCCCTGTCCCGATTTTTCACATTTGCTGTCTGGTCACCCTATAACAGGAGTCTATTAGGATGAAGAAGAAAATTCTGTCAAGGGAACATCTGAGCACCAAACTTAATATGTCACTAATCTCAGCCCCGGCAATATTCGCTCCCTCTCTCAACCAAGTTTATTAAAGTAAAACAAGTTACCCTTGCCAATGACCATGTTATACCCACACTGGTAACATTTCACTCACTATTCACTTTGGCACAGGCCCCTCCCTGTGATGTTGCACTCTATACGATTTTATGAAAATATGCTAATGTAACTGGAATATGCTTCATGCAAAAGGTCTCTTGTAAGGTATCATTACAAAGCTTATAATCTACTGAGTGTGGTCATCCTATTTGTATAAATGTATCACGCTTGTATCTGAAACTAGAAATATGAAATATAACTCTGAGGGCCTATTGTAATTATGCAAAATGTGGGCCGTTAATGGTGGTTTGAAATCTTGATGACTCCCATTAACCAGGACAATTGACTGCAGATGGCTCTGTTTTACCTGTAAGTCTTCCTGTATACGTGTGTGCTGGAAAGTGGGTAATGAAGGCTTACAGTGACATGTGATCATGTCACCTGAACTGGAATCCATCTTTAACCTGGTGCTTTTCCATTGAGAAGGTGGGGGGGGGGCGTGGAAACCCAGAGGGACAAAGGATTCCCACCTTATGCAAAAGATATATAAGTGGGTGGAAGAGAGAAAAGAAGGAGCCATCATGAGAAATCTCCTGGCTACCGCCTGAACTGGAACAAGGGCTGTACCAGGGGAAAGGATTGTGCCCAGACTAGGAAGGCGTCCAGTCTGTGAAAGAAACGTATTGAAACATCTCTGAGGGTAAGATCTTATCTCTATTCAGTTTCTTACTCTATTAGACATAGACTTGCGTGTTTTATTTTATTTTGCTTGGTAATTCACTTTGTTCTGGCTGTTACTACTTGAAACCACTTAAATCCTACTTTCTGTATTTAATAAAATCACTTTTTACTTATTAATTAACTCAGAGTATGTGTTAATACATGGGGGTGGGGAGGGAACAAACAGCTGTGCATATCTCTCTATCAATGTTATAGAGGGTGAACAATTTATAAGCTTTATACTGGGTAAAACGGATTTATTTGGGATTAGACCCCATCGGGAGTTGGGCATCTGAGTGTTCAAGACAAGAACACTTCTATAAGCTGCTTTCAGTTAAGTCTGCAGCTTTGGGGCAAGTAATTCAGACCCTGGGTTTGTGTTGGAGCAGACTGGCGTGTCTGGCTCAACAAGACAGGGTGCTGGAGTCCCGAGCTGCCAGGGTAGGAAAGCAGGGGCAAAAGTAGTCTTGGCACATCAGTTGGCAGTTCCCAAGGAGTTTTCCTTGATTCAACCTTCACCCACCCAAAATCATGAGATTGGCTTAAAAGCATATTTAAAAAATAATAAATCTGGGGTTCTTTCATTTGCCTTCTGGTGTTGAGTCTGTTTCACGTTTTCAAGTTTTTCTTCACAACCATGATGGAAAAAAAAACCAATTAAAAACAAAAAATAAAACTGTACAATGAGAGTCTCAGATAATCACATGACTCCAAGAGCTGAGGCTTTAACAGCAACACCAAATACTGCAAGACTCTTGATAAAACCACAATGGTTGGCAACACTACATTTTGCCCAGAGGGAGGACTACACAAGTTTCAGGGCAGTGGAGAATCAGGCCCTAAAGCCCAGATTATGAAAGGTATTTAGGCACCCAGGGCCGGCTCCAGCTTTTTTGCTGCCTCAAGCGGCGAAGAAAAAAAAGAAAAGATAAAGCCGCGATTGGCGGCAGGTCTACCGCACCACTTCATTCTTCGGCGGCAATTCGGCCGCTGGTCTTTCCCTCCGAGAGGGATGGAAGGACCCGCCGCCGAATTGCCTCTGAAGACCCAGACGTGCTGCCCCTTTCCATTGGCCGCCCCAGGCACCTGCTTCCTGCGCTGGTGCCTGGAGCTGGCCCTGTAGGCACCTAACTCCCATAGACTTTAACAGGAGACAGGCACCAAAATACCTTTGAGGATCTGGACCTAAGTGACTTCCTGAGTGCTCCAGAGGGACAGTCAGGATCAAAGAAGCCAAGATTAGACCTTAGAATTATTTTATCATCTTTCTCTTTTAATTGCCAGGCACCACAGTATCAAGGGTCAAAGTTCTTGGCTCCCAGATGTGTGCTCAGACTACTACATCTCTCTCCAATAAATAATATAACAACAATAACAATGGAGAGAGACCACGGACCAGGTTCTCTGGAGTGACAGTGGCATAAACTTTAATGTAACCCAGTGGAGAACCCCCAGGCACCCTTGGTCAAATTCACCCTGCAGTCAGAGGGGTCATCCCATTGTAACAGATAGACTGAATACGGTCCTCATCTCTGCATGTATTTTGAAAAGCCCAATGCTCTATCAAAAGAAAGTCAGTGTATTGTTACTATTAGCAATGATCAATTTAATTATTAATAATTAAAGCTGCACTTAAGGGTAGAATTTTTTTAAAAAATAATGTGACTCTCACGTTGCCCGGTTACTGATTAGCCACTCACGTACCAATGCCCCGAACAGTTATTTCCCTTTCAAAATAAACAAATCTGCAAGCTCGGGAAATAAAGAATTGCAGCAAGTGCAGGTCCTCTCCTGCCTGTGATTGGATCGGGCTGGCGGTGAGATCACGGGGGAGGCTGGACTGTAGGTAGGGGAGGGCTGGTTTGCGACAGCGCCTGGAAGGATATTAACCAGTGAAGGGACAGGGGTGGTTGTATCTGTTGTAGCTTCCCTGAGGTACACTACGGGGGTAAGTAGCACCGATGGAATCTTAACAACGCCAACGTTCTGTTTCCGAACGTTTGCTACTGTGGCCTCTTGGGCACATGTTCCCCAGAGGGGTGTGTGTAGAAGAGGGTGGGCTTCACGCTTGGGGTATGTACAGGGGTGGGGGTGCACTGTTGGGGCAGGAGGAGGAGGGAAGGGGAAAGTGATCAGGTCTGGCATTTCAGTTTCTCTAATCGGGATTGCTTTGTTTTTGGTCTTCAGCGTTTGTGTGTTTTCCCTTAAGAGACGAATCAATCTTTCAAGGGGATGGATGAATGGGGTGGGGAAAGGGGTTGGTGCCTGGTTCTTTCCCCTCCCCCTTTGCTCAGGCCGCTGCAGATCTCCGGGACAAGAAGGGTTATTCTTGGGGGAGGGGGAGCAGCTGACTATACACTAGAGAAGCAAGTGGGACACGAATCGAAGTTTATTGCGGGCTGCGGCGGCTTGATTTAAAATTGAAGGGGAACAGAGAGCGTGGATCAACCACTTAATTTCCTCTTACTATAAAATTCTGTTGGCTTTTTTTGTTTTTTGTTTTTTTTTAAATAATCACTCCTTCCCCCCTCTCCCTCCCCAGCAAACAAGTTCTAGCAGAAGGGAAGGAAAGCGCTATTTTCTGTTGTGACCTTTGGCATATGCTCGGCACCCCCTTCCCTGATAAATACCCTGCCCCGAGTCTAATCTGATTGCTTGGGTGAGCACCAGCAGCGAATCCGGTGGGAGGGGAAAGAAGCTGGGGCAAGAGTTCCTTTCCCACGAGACTCACCCCTCTGCCCACCCCCAGCTCGTGAGCTTTGAACTAGGAGCCGTGATGCTGGGGTAGGGGCAGCAGCTGCAGAAAGGCAGCTTTGTTTAATTGATCTCCAAAAGAATCGAGCTTTTGTTGGGGGTGGGGGAGAAAAGGACTCCTGGCATGGGCTCCCTATTAACAGCCTTGATTAGTTCCATTAGGGGAAATAAACGATAATAAATCAACCACGCTGCCCTAGAGCTAACAAAAAAGGTCCAATATTTCTCGTTTGTGTTTGTCTCTGGCAGGCAGCAGCTTCTGATCATGAAGAAGAAAGCGAAGGCTTGGAGGGGAGGCTTGGATCCTTGGCTCTGAGCCACGTGTTGTGTGAAGCACCCAAAGCCAGGAGAGATGTATTTTCCATAAATAACTCTTGCTCACACATACTGTGCCATGGGCTTAAGGCCTCTTGAGACAGGGATGGTTTTGTTTTGAGATAATCTCTCTCTGTGTGTGAGTGACACGGCCGATTTCTTTTGGGGAGGGGAAATGGAAGACTATACAACTAGAACCTATGGCACGGGTGGACTGGACAACAGACCTCTCTTTGGAGAAACTTCAGCAAGGGTAAGACCTGATTGTGCTTTGGAGAGATCCCCTCCAAGAGCTGGCTACTGAAGGGCTCCTTTCTGAAGTTGAGAGAGCTACTCAGTTTGTTGGAAAGCAGTATTGGCAGGGCTGGTTCCAGGCACCAGCATTCCAAGCAGGTGCTTGGGGCGGCAATCTGCAAGGGGCGGCAGTCTGTGTTTTTGCCGCTCCAAGCAGCGCGCCGAACTGCCGCCACGGACGGCGGGGGCAGTCTGTGCCCAGTTAGGGCGGCACGCGCGTTTCCATGGCGGTGGCAATTCGGCGGCAGCTTCCATGTTCAGCTACCCGCGGGGGCGATTCGGCGGCTTCTGTTTTCCGGCTGAAGACAGAAGCTGCCGTCAAATTGCCGCCGCCGTGGAAACGCGTGTGCCGCCGTAACGGCACATAGTCTGCCCCTGCCATCTGCGGTGGCAATTCGGTGCGCTGCTTGGGGCGGCAAAAACAGTAGAGTTGGCCCTGAGTATTGGGTATTTTCATGTGCAATAAGTAGCTTACTCAGTCTCTTAGTAGTAATTATTACATCATTCCCCCCCCCCCTTTTTTAAATAAAATAAAAATTGAACTGCTCTAGCAAGAAGTACCTCCACACCCACAGTGGCACTTCACAGCTGTACTAGGGCCTCTGGAAGGCAGGGGGCTGAATAGAGATTTTGTTGTTTGATCTAAAGGCACAGAGCCACAGGGATTATTTGCAGAGTTTGAAGGGTACTTCAGAGCCTCTGTAGGGTCCCATGTCAGCAGTTGCGATAGGGTGCCTTGCACAGGGCCGTCTTGAAAACGAATGCTGCGATTGTGCAATGGTGGTGTTGTGTAATGTGGATGTGACTTGCCCAATTGCAAGGTTGACCAGATAGCAAGGGTGAAAAATCAGGACCCTGCGTTTTTTGCGGGGGAAGAATTGGGGGATATAGTTGCGTAAATAAGACAAAGCTCCTAATATCAGGAGATCTGGTCACCCTACCAACTATATATGCCGAGCACATGGTGTGTGTTGCTCAGTTTTGTGGGATCTTCTAATAATAGGGTCTTTGTGCAACTTGGCAAAATACTTCGCCATGGCAAACTTACTTTACAATTTTCTGGTTTTGTGGGATTATTTCAAAAGGTCGGAGGCGTGGGGGGAATTTGTCCCCTGACTCTTCTTAATTAGAGAATGTCACATGTTTTGAACATGACCCATGGGGGGCGGGGGGTGCTAGGTGGCGGGAACTACTTCTTGCAACGCTATTTATATTGCTAGTAACTAAGGCCCAGATCAGCAAAGATACTTAGGTGCCTAAATCCCAGTTTGGGTTCCCCTGTAATCCATAATTCTCCCTGAACCCTGTAGGTGGCTACATTTAGTGCCTAAGTTTTCAGGGTAAAAGTTTCCTCTGTGTCTAAGTTTTTTGCCTCTGGGCTTGCACACTGCTGCCTTGCTATTGGTGTCCAGAGCCGCAGAGTGATTCATGCACTGGGGGAGGATAAGTGTTTAGTCACCTAAATTGCTTGTCGGGCCCAATCTGGTAGATGGGCTTAGAGGCTGCCTACAGGATTGGGTCCCCTTCAAAAGGTGGGGTGCGAGGTGCCCATTTCATAACTTCTAGCCCAGTGAGTAGAGCATTATCCTGGGCCTCCCACATCCCAAGTGCAATTCTCTCTTTCTGCTGGAGGCGGGGAAAGGTGGGAGACTACAGTTAAAATCCTCTGAGGAGAGTTCTCTAACCACTGGGCTTTGGGCTATTCTGATATGGGGCTCCCTCAGTCCCCCCTGTTGAAGTTGTTCCACTCTGGATTAAAAATATGAAAGTAAATGGAGTAGGGGGACTGGATGCCAGGTCTCCCTCTCCCTGGTGGGTGTCCTAACCACTGGACTACAGAGTCATTCTCTCTTTGGCCCAATGACTGTTCCACGGGGGATAAATACTTACCCAGTCATAGAGCCACAGAGAGCGCGTGAGAATGACTCTATAGTACAGTGACTTGGCTGAATTCCTAGTCTTTCATGATTTATCCTTGTAGTTTAAATGGTAGGGCCTGGCCTTCTGGAGTAGGAGGATGTGAGTTTGATCCCTGTTGATGCCATGAAGTTCTGAGTGGGCATGACATGCAGCTGAGTGACAGCTGAGAACGCCTAGATAGCTGTGGATTCATTACCGTGCACCTTCAAAATTATACACAGCTCCTGGCTTTGTGAGAGCCCTGGAAAAACAACCCTTTGGGCTCTTGAACTTAGCTCCAGAAAGAGCATTAGTTGTGTTCTGCCATGATCGTTGCCTGGAGAAACCAAAAAGTGCCAGTCAAGCTAACTTCAGAGGTGCCCAAACTATAAGGGATAAATATGCAGTGAATATCTAAAAGGCGATATCTGTCCCTTTCAGCTCTTTTTCCTCATCTAGGAGGGTAATAGACAACGGAAGGGTTTTTATTACAATTTTCTGTTTAACGGCTCCCCAGCTTTGGCCATGATCCTGCAGGCCACAGCCATGTACCCCTGTGCGGAGCCCTATTGACCGTGGAAGAGCTCAACATGAGTGCAGGGCTCTGCTCACATGGAGCTGATTGCAGGATCGGGGCCTCCATTTTTTTTTTAAACTCTTCACACCACATTAACTTCCTACCCCTTTGTTGAAGTGTGTGTGAGAGAATATAGCACCCAAGCACTTTTTTTATTAGCACTGAAGTCCACCACTTACCCTTAGGATGGATATAGCATGGACAGCAAATGGTAAAATTCCAGTATGACTCAAATCTGATCTGGAGGGACCATGTCTAGACTTGAATACCTCAGGGCACTGGCTCTGCCTTACTCTTTACATGATACTAAGATTATAAGGGAACCACAGGGACACAGTCATATTCCAAACAACTGTGTTTACTAACTGTACCCAAACTTACAAACCTAGCTACATTCATACACTGCTGCTTTATAAAGCGTGCTGGTGGCATCTGCAGGAGAAACCTGGGAGGCCCACTAGCGGGCTTCCAGACTACTGACCGGGATACTCCTCAATTCCTGTACACTGCAGCCTCTCTCAAGTCTGACAGCGATGTGGGTGATGTATTGTGAAATTAATAAAACAGACACCCTTTCACCAGGATCTGCTCAGGGGCCACTAAGCAGACATCAGGTAGACCGGGTTTAGCTACCACTCTAAACTGAAAAGACTTGCCATATATCAATTAGGGTGCTGCTTTTCTTCCACTTCCCATTCCCTTGCTTCCCACCCCCAACAGCTGTGTTGTGATGGGTTGTGTGATAACTGTGGGATCTGCCTACATGATCCCTGCACTGCTGGTACCAAAGTCCTTATTAAAATGCTGTGGGATCCTCGAGGCATGACAGATGTCTCTTTAAAACCTTGACATTTGCTGGAACACAGTTTGGTAGGACTTGACCATTGTTCAGGACAAAATGGCTAAGCTTGAATTATGGCACCATAACTTCAGACTTGTTATTGAAAGTACAGCATCTGGCACTCTTGGGTGAAAGCCTGTAGTTAGCAGCCTTTTCTTTAGTTGGCGGAGAATGCTAAAACCATGACCCTTTCCAATCCCTCTCCTTCTGGCATGGATTCATCCTGACCTGGATTTCTGGATCTCTCTTGCTCTGATTTATTTTGCTCCTCTGGCACTGAATCATAGGAAGATTGTGCTGAGCTGAAATGAACCATATAAATAAAAAGAAAACAAGGAAAGAAGAAGTGGGACCACTAAGCATGCGGTGGAGATTAAAGATAATCTTGGTATGGCTCAACACCTACACAAATACTCTGCCTCAGTTTTTCATAAGGTTAATGAAGAACTTAAGGGCAGTGACAGGGTGGCTAATGGGAATGAGGATATGGAAGCAGAAATTACCATATCCGAGGTGGAAGTCAAACTCAAACAGCTTAATGGGACTAAATCGGGGGCCCCAGATAATCTCCATTCAAGAATATTAAAGGAACTGGCACATGTAATTGCAAGCCCAATAGCAAGGATTTTTAATGAATCTGTAAACTCGGGGGTTGTACCCTATGACTGGAGAATTGCTAATGTAGTTCCTATTTTTAAGAAACGGGAAAAAAGCGATTCGGGAAACTACAGGCCTGTAAGTTTGACCTCAAGAGTGTGTAAGGCCTTGGAACAGACTTTGAAAGAGAAAGTAGTTAAGGACATAGAGATGAACAGTAATTGGGATAAAATGCAACATGGTTTTACAAAAGATAGATTGTGCCAGACCACCCTGATCTCCTCCTTTGAGAAGATAACTTATAGTTTTAGAGAAAGGAAATATGCAGTAGATTTAATCTACGTGGAGTTCAGTAAGGCATTTGAGACAGTTCCACATGGGAAATTATTAGTTAAATTGGAGAAGATGGGGATTAATATGAGAATTGAAAGATGGATAAGGAACTGCTTAGAGGGGAGACTGCAACGGGTCATACTGAAAGGTGAACTGTCGGGCTGGAGGGAGGTTATTAGTGGAGTTCTTCAGGGATGATTTTGGGACCAATCTTATTTACCTTTTTTTTTTTTTTTTTTTAAATGACGGCACAAGAAGGGGAAGTGTGTGAATAAAATGTGTGGATGACACAATGTTGGGAGGTATTGCCAATACAGAGGAGGACCAAAATATCATAAAAGAAGATCTGGAGGATTTTATGATAAAACTGGAGTAATAAAAATGGGATGAAATTTAATAGTGTGAATTAAATAGTGCACTTAAGAACTAACAAAGAATTCTTGCTATAAGCTGGGAACATATCAGCTGGAAGTGACAGAGGAGGAGAAAGACCTGGGCATATTGGTTGATCACAGGATGACTATGAGCTGACAATAGGATGTGGCTGTAAAAAAAAAAAAAAAAAAAAAAAAAAGGGCTAATGCAGACCTAGTATGCATCAGGCAAGGTATTTCCAGTAGAGACAGGGAAGTGTTAGTGCCATTATACAAGGCACTGGTGAGACCTCATCTGGGAAATACTATGTGCAATTCTGATCTCCCATGTTTGAGAG